GGGGGGGGGGGGGTGTGGGTGGGGGGGGGGGGGGGGGGGGGGGGGGGGGGGGGAGGGGGGGGGGGGGGGGGGGGGGGGGGGCGAAACAGAGGCAAGATTAGAAACAAATAGCGTTAATTAGGCATAGGGAAGGAAAGATTGTAAAGCGCGGAGATATCAACCTATTAATCGACGACCGAGGGGGCGGGGGCGGAAATACGGAAACGAAATATGAGCGACAGGCAACACGCAGGGGATAGGCAGTAGAAAATAGACTACAGATCGGCACTTAGGTGGGAAATGGTGGAGGAGGTCGCGGTTTTACCGTATGTTCGAGCCCACCGGGAGGCGGTGCCGAGGGGGCGTTACAAGGTCAGCTGGAGGTCAGCGCATTTTGCCCGGGAGCCTCCCCTAGATCTTGACGCAGCCCCTAGGGCCAAAACCCTTTGGTTGAGAGCATCCAGTCTCCACACATGGAACACACACGCGAGGGGGGGGGGGTAGTCTTTCTTCCACAACTGCGAGCGATGGCCTAGACCAGGTACACTATGCCCCATCCGGTAAGGAAGCCTGGCGGGTTGCCGCCAACCCCCGCGTAGCGGGGGCGGGAGACAGTTTTAGTGAGTAGGCCGTGGAAACCGCCCCTCTTCTAGGGGCGCCGGAAGCGGGAGTCTCACACTATCTGGGCTATCTTCCCAGATGTCCGTTACTGGATTTCTGTCTTCCTTAAACAAAACAAAAAAAAAAACGCAGCTTTGTGGCCTTCTTGGCCGCATTTGAAGCACAGATGTGACCTATTCTTCTCGCCGCATGTGGCGGCAGCGTGCCCTTTCTGCAGGCACTGGTAACAACGCAGGCCTCTCTGGGGTAATACGTCTACTCGAGCTGTGGTCCATCCCACCCTCACCCTCTTCTGCTCCTCGATCTTCTTCGCCGCTATAAGAGGGCATTTCACCCAGAGGGTGCCGAGACTCCTGTTGCGGCGCCACTGTTGCGGCGTCATCAAGGCCGATGACCCTCATCTCCGCAGTCTTGGTTGGTTTGGATCTCCTAACCTCTGACCCTCGGAACGCCGGTTGGAGGCGGCGCTCGAGTTCCTCCACCTGTTTGTGCCCTTCCGGACCAGGTACCGCCAAAATCATACCGCCCACGGCGGATTTCCGGGGTTTATCTTCCGTATACCCAGCTCGGTGAGTTCCTCTGTGGGAACTGTCGCCACCGCCTTCTTCATTGCTTCCGAATAAGTTATTTTGGCCCCCGGCGGGATAGTGATGGCGAACGCGGCCATCTCCGATGACCTCGGAAGCGTCGGCTTCTTCATTGCCTTCGGCACATTCTTTAGGGTGCCTCCGGCCTTCGCTTGCCCCTTGGGACCGGTCGAAGTAGCCGAGGAAGGTGGGTGACTTTCCCTTTTCTTCGCCGCTCTTCGTGCCTTACGGCCCAGAACCGTGGTCCAGGTTTCATTCTTCTCTGCGGCTGCCACTGGTGGGACAGCGCTGGTGCTCGGCGCGCCCTCCTTCCTGGATTTCGAGCGCTCCTTGCCGGAGCGGCTCCTCATTCTCTTGGCTGCTTCGGCGGCAGCCGCAGGCGC